ACATTCCACTATGAGTTGAAATGAGCCCTGGCCGGTTTGGCTCAGTGGTTAGAGTGTCGATCCGCGGACCAAAGAGTCTCGGGTTCAATTCCAGTCAAGGGCACATACCTCGGTTGTGGTTTGTCCCCCACCCTGGTCAGGGTCATGTGGGAGGCAACCAATCGATGTGTCTCTCATACATCGATGTTTCTCTCTCTCTTCCTCCCTCCTACTCTATCTGAAGATAAATGGGAAAATATCCTTGGATGAGAATTAAAATAAAAAAAAAGAGAGTTGAAGTGATTTTAATTTATTCCTAATCAGAGAAGGAAGGAAGGAAGGAAGGAAGGAAGGAAGGAAGGAAGGAAGGAAGGAAGGAAGGGAGGGAGGGAGGGAGGGAGGAAGGAAGGGAGGGAGGGAGGGAGGGAGGGAGGGAGGGAGAGGAGAGGGAGGGACGGGACTATCAAAACCTGGGCAGGCCTCAGATTCTGGAACACTTGTGCATGCCATCCACCATGTAGATGGTAACAGAAAACAAGTGACTGGAAAGTGAGCCTCGCTGGCTCTTCTAAAACATGCTTCCATTCAGGGAAAACTATGTTTTCACATTACTTTTTAAGATTCCAACAACTGCACAAAGCAAAGTGAACCTATGTGGCACTTGATGCAATTGTTTACAGTTCTGAGTATTTATGGCTCTGAACAGGTTCCAAAGACCTGCCAGTGCCCGTGCACAGAGCGGCGCCCAATACGCTGCTCTGTTCTGGCCAGAACACTACAGAGAGCTGTTCTCTGAGCAGGAAATGCAGATACGTGTTGCATTCACACACACTTCAAAAGCTGGGCTTGGTTTATAACCGCTTGTGTTGAGGTCCCAAAAGTGAAAGTCACCCACCAGGGTGGGTCAAAGGTGAATGTTTACCAAACATTCAACTAACCACACCCAAAGTTTGGAATCCTTGAGGAAGTGAGAAATGAATGGAAGATTCATGTCATCTCTAACTTCTGGTCCCCGTATTCTTTGCATTCACTTTTCAAAAGTCTATTTTGATAACAGGCCAGAGTTGAAGGAAACCTCCCTGCTTGTGGCAATTCCAAGGCGAAAATGAAAAATTCTGATAAAGCTCACAGCCTTGAGGAAAATTCCAAGTGCCTCATTGCCTTCATTTCCTCTCATTTCACCACTTACTATCAGACTGGACTTAAGGACAGACTGCCTTCTGCTCTGCAGGCGCGATTCCCTTCCCACTGGAGACCATGGCTGGCGACTGGAGTATTTTTTTCCTCATTTATCTGTGTAGCCCTCTATGTAATAAACCCGAGATCGGCCAAGCACACTCCGTGGAAGAAGTCTGTACATTAGCGATGGGGTGTGTGGGTGTGCACGCATTAGACAGAGAGAAAAGTTACGCTCTGCATGCAATGAGCCAAATTACCCCAATTCCTTTGTAGACAGGTTTTTTTCCCCCTTTCTTCTTCTTTATTTTTACAGTATAAATAACATTTAGCTGAGATTTCAGGTTCTTGATTTTCAGTAGGACCCAACTGGTGTGGGAAAGGGCCACATGCCCATGGCCAGGGCATCACTTTTGGAATCTCTGCCCCTCCTAATAAACATTTGTCTTACAGCTGAAGGTGCCTTGTCACCGGCCCTGATTTCAGAGTAGGGCCTCATAAAGTCGGCAACACTAAGACCAAAATAATGTCATTTAGTGTCTGAGGGGGGAGAGAGGTTAAAGAAAGGATTAGAGGCAGGCAGGCAGGGTATATTAAACGAGTCCATGACTAACAGGGTGTGACAGAAAAGGGTTTTATTCTTTTCAACAAAACAATTCCCTAGGGCTGGGACCATTACTCCACTGTGCCTTTATCACCTTGGAATTTTTATGGTTATTTTTGATGAATTCACATTTTTGTAAAGGCTTTTTTGAAATGACGCCAGTTTTCAATTTTTAATTAAAGTCGTAAATAATCTTAATTCTACCTTAAAAGGTTTATTGTTTCTTACTTTTTTTTTTTTATTATTGCTGCCAGGAAATATTTCAAATACCAAGCCCTGATGTGAGTTAGCAATTAGAATCTCTCCAAGGTCTAGTAACAACATTGTACCATGTAAATATTACACACCGGTATACCAGCACAAGGTTGGAAAATGTGGACTGACTGATTTCAGGTTTATTAGCAATGCTTCTCCTGGGAGTGACATTTCCTCATTTTATTGGATGGAGCAACTTTCATCATTTTAATTTCCATAAATTAATCCATCACGGATCTATAAAGGATTTTTTAAATCTTCAGATTAAAAAGACAGGTTAAAATTCAGAAAGTAAACACAGTAAACTTGTCACTAAGGACCAGGCAATGAAAGTCAGCCAAGGCCAATTCAACCATCTGCAGAAAATAGAGTGAGCATCAAAAGGTAAATCACCGGAGAGACAAAAACTTATTTTACTTAAGAAAAAATTGAGAGAATACTGAAATACTTAACATTAGATTATAATACTGTTCCTTGTTAACTAGATGGCCTGTTGAAGGTTGTCGGCAAATTGTCTATAAATTTGTATTTTGTAATCTCAAAGTCAGATTTTCTTTTTTAAATTAGTGCTTTGAGCCCAGCCAGTGTGGCTCAGTGGTTGAGCACTGACCTATGTACCAAGAGGTCGCTGGTTTGATTCTCGGTCAGGGCACATGCCCAGGTTGTGGGCCCAATCCCCAGTGGGGGGCATGCAGGAGGCAGCCATTCGATATTCTCTCTCACCGATGTTTCCATCTCTCTCTCCCTCTTTCTTCCTCTCTCTAAAATCAGTAAAGAAAAAATATAAGAAAAAAATTAGTGCTTTGAGAATCTTTCACATAATCAAATTACTCTTCCTTTATATAGGGCTGAAAGGTACCACGTTTGAACAATAGAAACCATTAACAACTCCTGAAAATACACATTATGTTTCTATACCTACTGTCAATATCATATTGTAGCTTATTTGTCCAGATATGGGACTTATGTTCTGTCATGTCCATGACAGCTGTTGCTATCTATGCAGGTGCTCTCCAATCTGATGATAGATTTGCCATTACAGTAAAACCTAATTATGACCTTGAGAACGGGCATATTTTGAGGGGAATACTCTCAACAAGAGATTTTTTTTTGTTTTTGTTTTTGTTTTTTAAAACAAACAGAACTCATCATTTCGAGTTTATAAGATACACAGACAATGACAAAAACCATTTGATAGTAGTCCTGCTGGATGTTAATGGTGTGCAACAATGGTGTGTTATTTTAAGAACATCAAACATCTCCTTACAATTTTATTTATAATATAACTCACTTAGCAGTTCCTTTGCTCTTTTAAAATAAAAGAATATATCCAATCCATGTTAAATGATCATCTATTATTGTTGATAATATTTTCTTTTGATGATGATCATCTGTTATCAGTTTACTGGGATTCTAATTAAAGAGACTTAACTATATTTATAGAGAAAAATAAATGATTTTAACAACTGACTTAGAAGAGTGGGCTTGTATACAATTAAGAATACCTATCACATCTTTCTAACTGGGCATTTTTCTAACTCACAGGGAAGAGGTCAAATTATTTTCATATATAAACCCTCAACTGGCTTTGTGCTAACACCTCTCAAGGAAGAAAAAAAACTCAAGCAACAAAAAGACTACAGAGCATTTCCCAACATAAAAGTGTTAAATCCCTATGAATCATGAAAGAATATAAGATTCTAGTTATCTATAAGTCATGGTGACTTGAAAAACATGGCCAGGGTTCCATCCTTGAAATAAGTTGAGTCTTAAATTTCCCTTAAATTTGTTATGAAGGACCCTTAAATAAATCAGGTATCCATCTGAACACAAATGAAATACTCAGAAAAGCCATGATCAAGTCAACATATTTTCTGCCATGGTCAGAAGATGCATGTTGATCCAAAAGTTTACAAACTCAATTATTAGGACGTGCCCTGTAAGGTGGTGAGCTCTTCATCTCTTGAGGTGTTGAAGTACAGCATGGCCAACCACTTGCTGGAGATCTTATGAGGTCAGGAGAACAAATCAGGTGGGTTGGCTGGTTGATCTTGAACATTTCTTCCAAATCTGAGAGACTATGATTTCTATAAACTTTGAAAGATGTATTAATCCCTCATTGATGTCAAAGTAATTTTAGGTTCAATTTCTTTCTCAGGTTTTCACACACAGTGTCTATTAAGAAACATTTTTTTTCCCTAAGAAACATTTTTTTTTTTCCCTAAAGGGAAGAAATCTTCTATTCTTACTCATCCTAGAGATTCACCTACCTTCTTCATCAAAGCTAAAATGACTTTAACTGATTGATATTTTATGAAAAAGCACTTATTTCCAGAAAGGATTTCTGTTGTGCTGTTTTTCCCAATTCAACTTTCTTGTTATTTGAACTTAATTTCCATAAAAGCCTTTTATTTCTTTCCAGTTAAGATGACTTACCCTTGATCATCTCTGACTCCTATTATACACGCCCTCCCCAGAAACTCCTGTCTGGCCATATCAGCTATGCACACCATAGCCTTGCTATTATAGGCATAGCTCAGACACATTTCAGGTTTGGTTCCACAGCACTGCAATAAAACTAGTATTGCTATAAAGCAAGACACTGAATTTTTTTTGTTTGTTTCCCAATACATATAGTATAGTCTATTAAGTGTGCAGTAGCATTATGTCTAAAAAACAATGCATATACCTTACTTAAAAAATACTTTACTGCTAGATAATGCCAACCATCACCTGAGCCTTTAGGGAAGCAATCTTTTTGCTGGTAGAGGGTCTAATGAAAAACAATACCTGGGAAGAGCAATAAACGAAACGCAATAAAATGAAGTACGCCTGTTATTTCATGGAAGACTTCCCTCCTCCGCCAAGAGTCTAAAACATTTTATACGTTGGGAAGTATACGAATTGCCAATGCTCTGCAAAAGCTCCTAGTACTGCAAGAATTTAACTTCCTTTTCTGGCTGGGTAACTTCCTTTTCTAAATTACCTTTTTCCTTGCTTGTTGATCTTTGGAAGAATGTGCCTTCACATGCTTTCTTAGGGAACTTGGGTCTGTGTAGCGTTTGGTGCATCCTGGAATCTGACAAGCATAAGGTTTCTAAATAAGAAAGAAAGAAAGAAACAGCTGTGGTTAAATCATACCGGTGACTGGGAAGGTTTACTCCAAGACTACTGGCTTCAAAGCATGAGCAGTTACCAACTGACTGATGTGAAATACTGGGTAATATTCAGACATTTCAACTAGAAGGCCCAGTAAACTTGCGTGAAGGCAAAAAGGAGAGTAAACTTTTAAGAAGCAAAGAGATGGCCTATCTTTGATGATTTTTAAGAGATTACTACAGAGTGCACTCTTACCAGGAAGTTCTTGTGGCGTTTTTTAAGCATGGAAATTATTAGCAAGCATCTCCAGTCATACTTACAGTTATGTTCCCCTGAAAACAATCTTTGGGACTGTCAGAAACTAGGAAACACACATTCTTTAAGAGTTCAGGTATAAAGAAGCTGTAGAAAAGTCCAGAAAAGACTGGAAATGTTTCAGAAGAAACCTGATTCAGAAAGAGAGAGGGAGAGAATTAAAAGGAAACATTAGTAGAAAGTGTGGAGACAGTAGGTTTCAAACAACACACACATGAAAAATCAGCCAGAGAGACATTAATGCTAGTAGCTGTAGAAGTCCTGGTGCTAAGCCTGGGTTGTGTGAATAAGCCCTTGGCAGAGCAGATGAGAACACACGTTTTAGCTACTCCAATCCCCACCCTTGTGCTCTTGAGAGACGTGATGGGTGGAGCCCAAGGCTAAGTCTAGAATCTTTTTTATTTTTGTACTGTAACATTATTTCTCCTGTTTGGGTATTAAACTGCTACCCAAGTAGAAAAATGAATTAAAACTATCCAGGGTTCAAATTATGAACTCAGTAATCTTTATGGGAAAATGATTTTCCTGTAAGAAATCCATTTAGTTGAAGAAAGATTTTTTTACCCAAAATTCTGATGGAATTAGCATAAGGAGTACTTACCAAAAGAGAATGAACACCTAAATTTAAATAACAAATTCTTTAAGCAACTACAATTTGCTTTTTTAAACAAATGTTTCATTTCTATATGATGTTAAGACAGCTTACCAATTTGTTAAAATTGAATAAACATTTAAATAGTAGTAGTTTGGATCTTAATAAAAAAATGATGATTTTATAAAGATTTAATATAGAAGTGATTTTAAAAAATAAAAATAGCTGAGTTTTAAAAGCTACTGCACTGAAGTGAATCACAAAATCATTATCTTAGGTAGCTTTCCTCAAAAGTTTTAAAAAGGGATATTTTTTTAAAATTCCAAAATGATTTTAGAAAATGCTCTTAGTTTGATTAGCTAAAATTAGCTCCAAGCAAGGAAGTGTATTGTAGCACTGTAACACTTAGCCTCACAATAGTTCTTTCAAAATACAGATAACTAGGTAGAGTAGAAGCAATTTCTCAAGACAATCTTGTCTCATGAATGTTCATTCTTCCATGATAAAGTTTAATAATAAACTGAAAATTTTATTGGCTTCTATCCAGACCATTTTAGACATACAAAATAGGGCATTTAACATAATTTATTCTTTTTGCCTATTTCTACCTTTAAAAAATACTGCTATTCACCAAATTTATTCATTTAATATTCTATTCTGTTGGTCCTAAAATCACTGAATTGAATTCAGCTGGAGCAGGAAGGGTCAATCTTATGCTCATATTACTCTAATTATATTTCAGATATTTACTAGGCAAACTATCACATTTATGTATATCAGGAGGTAATTCTGTTCAGAAAGGTTACGTGACATATAGTTAAAATGACTTCTATCAATATGACTAATAGAGACTAATATAAAATTTAATAAATATGTCAACTATAACATCAGAAGAATATTAAATATGTATGAGAAGGTGTGTAGAAATAAGAGTATCTTTTCAAAATTCAAATTCTGGTGTAGTTTAATAATAGACATCAGAACGTTAACACTGAAAAAGTACTGTCATGAATACATTATTCGCAAGAATGTGAGAGAAGAGATCTGTGATGTGTATAATACATTTATCCTGATGTTTTTGAGTGAAGCGAAATTACGTATAGTCTACCTGGCCTCCTATAAGGGAAATGGCATCAAAACCCCAAAAATGGCAAGGAGGATATTCAACATAATGGAGAAAATCAAGGAGAGGGTGGAGTCTAGAAAAGACATTTGCAAATGAACAAAATGTTACAGCTCTAAGGGAGTTAAGGTGTGATAATGAAAATCAGTTGTTCTCATGGGATTTATGTCAATGGATATGTGGCTGTTAACGCATAAAAAGCCTGATGAAACTGAACCCTGGGGAAGGAGTTGCTGATTCTTTTTAGATTACTGAAAGGTGAAAATACCAGGTGGTTTCTGAAGCAAAAGGCCAGATTCATTCTCAAAAACCACGCTAGCCTCCAATTTCTATGTCAAGAAGAAAAAAAAACAACAGAATTAGAAAAACAAAAGTAGGTTTACAGATGTTCGTATAGAAAATAATACAATAATTAATATGTACTAATACAAGAATAGACTCTGTTTTGCATACTCACAACTGTAAACCTACTTTTGCCACACCCTGTATTTCGTGTATCTTAGTACATCTTGGTATTTGAATACTTATTTTAATGCCCAAATGGTAGTGGTCATTCTCTGTATTCAAGTCTACTATGGGACAGCCCCTACACTGCCTCTGCGTGGTACACAGTGGTTACCAAAGAACCCCTTTGTCCTGGCAGCTGTATTTAGGATACTCGTGACTGCAGAAAAATGAAGAAAGAGCCAATCAGGGCCCCTCTGGCCCTTTACCAGGTTCCAGAGCTGCCCTTGGCATGGCCCCTAGAACCTGCAGTCCATAAAGCAAACACCTTCACCATCCCACTATCAAAAGGGCACTTCCTCACACGGGGGCCTCCTGCCGGAAGCTGGAAAGCTCCTGCCATCCTTACAGTGTCCAGATGCGTCCTCTGGTGCTTGGCGCGGTCACTGGAGTTGCTGAACGCCTTCTGGCAGCCCGGATGTTGGCACAAATAAGGCTTCTCGCCCGTGTGACTCCGCAAGTGAATCTTGAGATTTTCGAGCCTTGAAAAGGCCTTCTTGCAACCTTCAAACTAAAAAGAGAAAACAATTTTCAGTTGTTGAGAAAGACCTTGAATGCTTGAGTTGCAGGGACAGAAAAAAAAAGTTCTTAGTTTGTACTTAGCCTAAAACAAAAATTAAATGGAATCCAAACAGTAACAACTATTACTTCTAAATATATCTATATGTTTATGTGAATTGCAGTTTTCCACTGAATATACATGCCACTTTCTGTACCAGATTTGGGTCCCAAACTGATTCTTGTGATTACTTATGTCAGAGAAAATTCACTGTGAGCCATCTGGCTCAGTTAATAAAAATACAGTAATGCGTGTCTTAAAGATTTATTAAAAAATTAACACACTTTTCCATTTCCAAATTGGTCTAAATTGAAGCAACCAGGAAGGAAGAAACTTTTTACAACTAATAAACTAACAGGAAAAATCACAGTGCTGTATGAGAAAAAAAAGTGCATTGAAGATCCAAGAGTTCAAGATGAAAAAGATGTGTGTCACTGAATTATTATAATCATAAACTTGCTTAAATACATTTTAAGGGGTTTTCCAACTCCCAAAAAATTGAACTTGTTAAGGGTGATGCCAAGCCTAATGAGATAAAGTTGTTTGGTTTAAAAAAAAAATTTGTTTTTTCTTTATTGATTTTAGAGAGAGGAAGGGAGAGGGAGAGATAGAAACATTGATGATGCCCACCACTGGGGATCTGGCCCACAACCTGGCATGTGCCCTGACCCGGAATGGAACCGGCAACCTCTTGGTGCATGGGTCAATGCTCAACCACTGAGCCACACTGGCCGGGCAAGAGATACAGTTTTTAAACATGCTTTCAAAAAGGTATTGAAAGACAATTCATTTAATGCTAAATCACTCTCCAGATAAAGTGGTTTTATTATTTATTTATTTATTAAGAATCTTGGTTATCTAGTTCAAGAAGAGAAGAATTAAAAATGAAAGACTGTCAATTTCAAGAAATGCTTCATTGGTTTATCAATACTTATTGATGGTAATTTTTTTAAAAAATGCCTTCTGTGGGCAAAATATCAGTCCCCAATAGCTGGTCGAAGTGATTCCAGTCCTTGAAATGACAATCTCAATAAAGAAAACGTGTTAGAGCAAGGCTGTGAATGAAGCATGAGGGCGAGATGGGCATTTATCCTTTAACTCTCATTGGTGCTAAGCCCCGGAATATTTATGTCACTTTGACAGTTTTAATAGCATTTGAGTTTCCACTGAAAGAGAAACTTATGAATATGGAAAAAAACTAATCAGAACAAAGCATAATATGTTTAAAACAATTAAGAAATCACACTTCTTAGCGAGGAATGTGTGTGTGAAGAGGGGAGTGGATAGGACAGAATCTAAGTAAAGAAGGTAAATACAAGATGCTTTCCATTCAAAATTAGCAGGTATAACCTAACCTTACTTCAAGATTTTTTCATGTAACTCCTTAGTTCACTTACTGATTATAACAGATGATGGAGTATATTGTTCATGAGGGGATGATCTAGGGCTGGCCAGGTTTTAGTTATTTGAATCTTCATTTGTAAGTAAAGGATGAACTAATGAGAAAGGATAGCCAAACATGTCATAACTCCATCTATTTAAGTTGTCCAGATTTTGCATGCGGTAGTATTTTAAGAAATTTGTGAAAGTTGCACTTATTTTTGATTGAGAGTTATACATGTTTCACAGACATATGTTGGTTTATTTCAATTTTGATATTTTGCTTAAAATAATTTTGGTGTTTTCCTGATTTCTATTTCACATAAAAGTAAATTTAGCCTGAACAGAAGATGATTGCTGATGAAGCCAGCTACTTTTCTAGCGGAGTGAAAGACAGAGTGCCATGTCGCTGGAGGGATCGAGGGGCTAAGTGGCTTATTTGCGCAGATTTTCAACTGGGTCTCAAATGAGAATCAAGGGGTTCAAAGTTAACCCCCAATTCACAGCTAAGAGGCCTCTGTTGACCAAACATCTGTTTTTAGGGTTCTCTTTGAATGGCGACTTAGAGCAAACTCCTGGAGCTCAGATTATTTTACTTGGAATCACTTGGTGGACCACACTTAGGTCTAAAATGAGCCTGTGGTTTTGGACGCATCAAACCTATAGCCTATTTCATAGCAAGGCTCTTTTGTAGGGTGGACAGCATTCTGGGGCCAGATCCAGGGGCACATACCCAGACCTGGGCAGGCCCAGCATCCACTCCCTTCTGCATTCCCCAGATCTTGGTAAGAGAAAAGGCTGCATAGTTTTGGCACCAACACGAAAGTGGAGAGCCACTTGAGAATAGATTAATGAGGTTTCTGTGCATATTGGACAAACAAGATCCTTGAACTGACCGTGGAGTGATCAGAGAGATCTCAGACATGTCCTAGAACTAATTCAAACTGTCCAGTGGATCAGACACAAACTGGATCTAGACTAGCGTTTCCAAGGTCTCTAGTTAACTGTCCAATTGAAAGTCAACTAGTGGGCCCTGGCCGGTTTGGCTCAGCGGTTAGAGTGTCCGCCTGCGGTCCGGAGAGACCAGGTTCGGTTCCCGTTAAGGGCATGTGCCTCGGTTGCAGTTTGTCCCCAGCCCTGGTTGGGTCGTGTGGGTGGCAGCCATTCGATGTGTCCCTTTCGCGTCGATGTTTCTCTCTCTCTCTCTCTCTCCCACTCTATCTGAACAAAAAATGGAAAAATGTCCTCGGGTGAGGATAAAAAAAAAAAAAAAAAGAAAGTCAACTAGTGGCTATGATTGCAGTTAAGAGAAGCAATGATCAAAGACCAAGGGGCTTGCTACATTCCAAGCAAGTCAGTGAAAAGTGAACTACATCTCAGATATCCTGACCATTTTTAAACAGCAAAGATGAAGGAAAATATGAACACTCAGACTGAAAATAACAACAGAAAGATGATCTATAAAATCATGAAAATCCAGCTGATTTCAGATGTTTCCTGTGTCACAAGAAAGGCCAAGAGATAAAAGTATCTATATTATTGTATTAGCATCATAGCATTTTCAGGGGAAATGATTAAGAGTGAAGCGACTGTATGATTAAAGGCAAAAGAAAGGATATGTCATGTATTCGGGCTCAATATGCAGCACAGTCTCCCTCTTATTGAAGAAATTCACTTGAAAACACCATAAACCCAAGACCAGTAAAATCAGGCATTGAAGAATGACAAATGGTTTGGTGGGGAGACCTGGCACCCACCCTACCAGGTGTATACAGGGCAGCACACCTGACTGAACCTGCCACACTAACAATTCTGCAAGAGGAAGGAGGTGCTGTTCATCTCTCTAATGGTGTCTGGGTGATACTGGAAAACAAACAATTCTCTAATACATCGTTGTCATTCATTATGGGAATAACCCAGTAATTCAGCGCAAGAATTTCCTCTTCTCAGGCAATTTTATCCCTAGAGTTATAAATTTAATTAAATGCAACTGCATTAAAAATAAACTCAAATTTAGCTAAAACTACAAAATATTGTTACAAAGTACCAAAACTGAATACTTTGGGTATTTAGGCAAATGGACACCTTTTTTCCTTATTATTATTTTTATCAGGTTTTTCAAATCTTTAATGATATCTAAACCTAGGGAAGCGAGGACCACAAGAGGAGTGTTTTCCTTGGTTCGGCCAAATGTTTTCTCATCAAGGTTCCTAAAGTACAAGATCCATCATCCTGAGGTTTACGGTTCAAATTGTCACCAGACTGCTCATGTCACTGCCACCAACCAACCCCTACACAAAAACTGACCGATAGCCTGTCTTAGGTCCTCTCCTACCTGGAATGGCTATGGAGCCAGGAACCTGGGCCCAGTGACACCCAACTAGAACAGGTCCTGAGGCTGCCCGTCATCCAAATGGCCCTCAGGCCCTACCTGAGGAGATGGCAGCAAAACAACGAACAAACTCCCAGAATCCAACAAGACAGCAGGTGGGAGGGTGGGAGGCAGTGATGGTGGGAAAGTGGTCTGGCATACACTAGTAATTTAATCTGACTGGCACTCCCCCAACAAATACCCAGCAAGCCCTATGAGTGTGGCACTATGTGTTAGGCATTGGGAGGAACAAGATGAAGAAAACTCGCCCTGGCTAGTTTTGCTCAGTGGCTAAAGCATCAGCTCCGGGACCGAAGGGTTGCCAGTTCAATTTCTGGTCAAGGGCATGGTCTGGGTTGCAGGTTTGATCCCCAGCCCTGATGGGGGCTGTGCGGGAGACAACTAATCGATGTGTCTCTCTCACATAGATGTTTCTCTCCCCCCCACCCCCCGCCTTCTACTTTGTCTAAAAATCAGTGGAAAATGAAGATTAACAACAACAACAACAACAAAGATGAATAAAACTCAAACTTTGCTCATGGGAAGATGGAAGCAAAGTCAATGTGTATGTCTGGGAAGGTCATAACTAATGACCTTGAGCAGCGATTCTCAAACTCGTGGTACCTGGACCCACATCATCAGCATGCTCTGGGAATTTGTAGGAAATATAAATTCTCGGACCCCACCCCAGATTTACAGAACAAAACCCTGGGGTCGGCGGCCCAACATCTGAATGTTAACAAGCCCTCCAAAAGATTCGGATGAGACAGTGTGCCATTGAGTTCAGGAATGCCATTTATTGCAATCGCTGTCGGTTTTCTTAAGGAAATCTCTTGAGAGAAGTGAGCATCTCAGAATTTACCCATTTCTAATGGCAACAAGAGAGTCACGGGACTAGCAGCAGCCCTAGACTGGAAAGGAACTTCTCCTGTCCAGGGTAAGGCATAGCAATTGGGACAAAAGCTCAGACTGCCAATCCCATACTAGGGATTCTTTAAACTCCCCTCTCTTTAATCTGCTGCCAGGCAGATGTCTGGTTCTGAAAGAGGTATGACTACAAGTTCCCTCAGTGGCCTCCTGACCAACAAAACAGCCCACATTTCTTGTGCCCAATCCAGTCCCCTGTCGAGAAAAAACACTGGAGGGGAGCCATTGTTTCCCATTTGCACATTTCAGTGACTTTACAGACACAGAAGAACAA